GCGTGGTTGGTCGAATTTGCAAAATCAATGGTGGCACCATCGGATTACAGAATGAACAAAATGTCAGATTTTCTAAAGAAAATTTGTTCAGAATTCAACCCATGTATGGCCTGCATTAAGCCAACCACACATGGGTCAAATGCAGAAATAATTTTCTTTCGAAAATCTTTTGTAAGAATTTTCATTTGAATTTTACACCATTCGTGGGCCACAGCTTTGGCCGATTTTAAAGCGACCATCAAATTTGAGTGATGTTGGAAATTTTTTGAAAAACAAACAAATTTCTAATTAATGATGGGAGAATCATGAGAGATATGTAATTGAAAAAGAAATGAGCATGAACTGTCCTGGAAAGAAAAGAAAGTTCTTGGCCACAAAAATTATTTTCTGTAGCAACATGTAGGAACTGCGTATCTATGGTTTGAACTGGCCCTAAAAGAAGAGAGGATTAGCAAGTGTACGTATACAATCGATAGGCCAATAACTTTTCTTTGAGAGATATGGTAAACACCTGCAGTATTCTGACTGAAAATAATTAACAGGACTGAATTGCATTTACCTAGAAACAGTATATAAAGACAATCCAAACATGCTATAGCAGTTCATCATTTTATCATACTAGCCAGTGAATACTTAAAAAAAATAAAGTTGGCTTGCAAAGTTAAGGCCCTTGAAGAAAGAATAACAGTTTCCAGCAGACAACAGACTGACTTGTGCAATGCTAGTTTCTTACAAGACCCAGTGCGCCCCCTTTGGAGTTTCTGGACCGATTCAGTTGAACTCCTCAGACAGGGATAGGAAATGCTGTGATAGCTCTCTTTCAATCCTGCTGAGACAGTCTCTCTTTTCCTTCCTTACAAGTGGTGAACACATTCTTTAGTACAATCTGATCATGCCAGATATCCTAATCATACCTCAAATCCTCCCAGTGAGAATGTTCCTGGTCTCCGAGGCCAAGGAGAAGGCTCCTGACCTCTGAGTGGTGAACGTATTCTTTAGTACAATCTGATCACACCAGACATCCTACTCACACCTCACATCCTTCCAGGGAGAAGACTCCTGGTCTCCGAGTGGTGAACGCGTTCTTTAGTACAATCTGATCACGCCAGACTTCCTAATCACACCTCACATCCTCCCAGCGAGAAGGTTCCTGGTCTCCGAGGTCAGGGAGAAGGCTCCTTGTCTCCAAATGGTGAACGCGTTCTTTAGTACAATCCGATCATGCCAGACATCCTAATCACACCTCACATCCTCCCAGCGAGAAGGTTCCTGGTCTCCGAGGTCAGAGAGAAGGTTCCTGGTCTCCGAGGTCAGGGAGAAGGCTCCTGGTCTCTGAGGTCAGGGAGAAGGCTCCTGGTCTCTGAGGTCAGGGAGAAGGCTCCTGGTCTCTGAGGTCAGGGAGAAGGCTCCTGGTCTCCGAGGCCAGGTCCAGTCTCTTTGCTGCTCTGAAGTCTCACCTGATTATGTTCAGCTATGGCAGGGTTCCGTCCAGACAGCAGCCCAGTCTTTTTTGACCTCCCTCCCTTTCTCACAGACGCTCGCCTCCACACTTCTCCTTGCTTCGTTGCATCAGCCAATCACAATCCTTCAGGAACTCTAGCTCTTTTGAATACAGTAGGCTTCAATTTCAGTCTGTAGTAGAAGTTCAGAGGCCAATAAATCTACAATGCTAAAACAGCTACTGTAAGCAAATACTTCTCACTGCACGCCCCATTTTATACTGGAAACTTTAAAGTTTAGATTTCCTTACAGCCTCCCCAATATGGACCCCCTTCCTACTTCAGACCCCATAGTGGCCAGGCTACCATGGCTATTGTTACACCATCATTACAATGTCTTTGGTGTCTCATTCCAATACCGAACATCTTATTTTATCAGGAATAACTAGTTAGCATCAAATCTATAACAAGTACCAAACCACAAACATAATATACTGTATCATTGCTTGAATATCCAGGTCAGTACCATATATGATAAGCACCCCTGTAACAAAGTGTTCTGCTAACTTGTAGACTGTTTGGATTAATTCCGAAGCAAGAATTTATGTTAAGGATATTGCTGCTACTGTACTGGAAATGGCAGAGCTCTGTAGCCTATGAACTACAGGAATTCATACCAACAATTGTTCGGTTTTTGCAGTTAACAAAGAAATCTAAAAAAACTATTTAGATGGTAAATACTGTATAACAGAGCAATAGGAAGCAAATAGGAGAAGTTGATTTTTTTGCGTTTACTTTAAAATTGAAAAGTGTGTTTCTCAAGTTAATGTGACTTTTTACAGTATATGTAGTCCACCATAACTGTGAGTTAAAAAGGGATTAATTTGGGAATTGGGGAGCAAAGGGGTGTGGGGGAAACAGTTTGGCTCTACAGCCCCTCTATATGTAAAAAAAAAAATCAATATTTTGTTTGCTAGAAAATTCCTTAGAACCCCCAAAAATTATATATATTTTTAACAGAGGCCCTAGAGAAAAAAATGGCAATTTTTTGGGAAAAAATAAACTTTAATGAATTTTATTTCACACGAACACTATATGATAGCTAATTTTTTGTTAAAATATAAAAAATGATGTTACTCCGAGTAAATAGATACCTAACATGTCACTCTATAGAATTGCGTGCAGCTGTTGAACAGCTTCAAACTACAGTACCTAAAAATCTTCATAAGTGATGCTTTAAAAGCCTTTACAGGTTTCCAGTTTAGAATCAAACTCAGGAGATCTGGTGCTAAAATGATTGCTTTCGCTCTGACATTCGTGAGGATATCTCACAAGTGTGGTACAATCACAGTTACATATGTGTGTGGGACTTATGTATGTATTTGCGTTTACACATAAGCATGGGGGGGGAGGGAGAGCTTTACATTTTTTTTATTATTTTTATTATTTATTTTATTTCAAACTTTTTTTTACACTATTAGGCCCCATGTACACGGGACACTTCTGAACGATGGAAACTGGCTGCTGGAAAACGTAGGTTAAAAAATGCCTGTTTAGCCGCGTTTGCATAATGCGTTTATGCGCGTTTATGTTCGTTTGCGTTTAGAAGCGTTTTTTAAAGATAAGCACAGGAGAACCTCCCAAATGCCCAGAATGGACTGAAAAGTGGTAAATTAACTATTTCAGACTGTTTCAGAGAAATACAGAGAGTAGAAGCAGATACAGCAGTATGTGTTTAGATTAGCTTAGGTGTGAGTTGCTCATTAACATTTCTTTTGTTTCCAAGGGTGGGAAAGGTGTCTGGTGGAGTGAGTCATTAAGGCCACCTGGCAGGGGGTCTTCAGGAGGAATTTGAGGTGTGAATGGGCATTAACATATCTTTTGTTTCCAAGGGTGGGAGAGGTCTGAAGTGTGAATTGGTCATTACAATGTGTGACAAGCTTGGTAGGAACATCCTGTGTTCAGTGTTTTGTATCTGAGTACCTTGGAAACGCTTTGCATGCATTCTTCATGATGAAAAAAGGCTCTGGACAGCATCGGTAACTAGAAGAGTTAAAAATAAAACTTCAGATGCAAACACTTACAAATGCGATTTGTCACGTTTAGCTGCATTTACAAAGCATTTTGCGTTTGAAACGCTGATAAAATCGACTGCTGAACGCAAGTTTTCTGCATTAAAAAAACGACTGTAATCTCAAATGCCTGTAAACGACTGTAAACGAAGATGTGTACATGGACACATAGGAAAACTTTAGGGTGAGTTCAGGGGCTGCTGAAAAAAAAACGCTGAACAGATCCTAAACGTGAGTTTATCAGCTGCAGTGTACATGAACCCTTATCTCTTTAGTTTCTTTTTTTTTTATCAACTTTATTGCTTTCACAAGGGATAAACAACATCCTTTGTGTAAGCATGGGCTGTGATAGTTCCTCTTTATTAGAATCCAGATCTCTTCTCTGGCCTCCAATGCAGCCGATCAGATACAGATTGGTGGATCGGCTGCTTACCTGACCAGTAGGAGTGGTCCCGGACTCCGCGACTGGACAGATGAGCCTGGGAAAATGGCAGTAGAAGGGGGGAGGACACCGGCCATCTGCAAAAATCTGCAGAAATGATCGAGTGGCTGTGCAGCCTCTTGACTCACTTCTGCTGAACAGAGAATTGGCAGCAGAAAAGTTTTATACTAGGAAGATGCCTGCAGGTGCAGGCATAGGTATTCCACATACCCAAAGACATCAAATACCTGCAGTGGTCAGAAAGCGGAGCTATTTCAACACTTGGGTCATTGGAAAGGTAAGTATATATATATATATATATATATCTATATATATATATATATTCTTCTTTTTTACAGGCTAGGCTTAATTTACAACTGATCTTGTAGTGTAAAAGTTAAATTTAATAATAACCCAAAACATCTTTCACTGAACATATGCTATGCTTTCCCTTTAAGATATTTTAAAGAATGAGGTTCACTATGCTTTATTGCATTGTGATATCACCGCTCTGACATGTGATGGGCCGCGTTTGCTTCGCTTCGAGGTCAAACATTCGAACCTAATGAATGAGACTCGAACTGGTAAACTCAAAAGTGCCCATTTTGAGGGATTATATACAAGTTATTGACCATAAAAGGATATAGGGACATGAATCAGTGAAAAATGTTTTTTTCAAAAAGTACCATTTTTAAAGGGGCAGTCATATTTCAGTAAAAAAAAAAAAAAAAAGAGAGAGAAACATTACTTTAATCACTTGCCTACCGGACACTTTTACCCCCTTCCTGCCCAGGCCAATTTTCAGCTTTCATCGCTGTCGCACTTTGAATGACAATTGCGCGGTCATGCAACACTGTACCCAAATTAAATTTTTAGCAATTTTTTGAGATAGATAGAGCTTTCTTTTGGTGGTATTTAATCACTACTGGGGTTTTTATTTTTTTGCTAAGCAAACTAAAAAAGAGTGACAATTTAGAATTTTAGTTTCTGTTATAAAATTTTGTATATAAGTAACTTTTCTTCACTGATGTGCACTAATGAGGCTGCAGTGATGGGCACTGATAGGTGGCACTGATAGGTGGCACTGATGGGCATGGACAGGTATCACTTGTGGGCATTGACAGGCATCACTAATGGGCACTGAAAGGCAGCACTCATATATGGCACTGATAGGCGGCACTGATGGGCACTGATAGGTGGCACTGACTTGCACTAATAGGCGGCACTGGTTGGCACTGTTAGGCAGCACTGACAGGCAGCACTGATGGGCAGTGACAGATGGCACTGACTTTCACTGATAAGCCCTGATATGTGGCATTGATGTGCACTGGTAGGCACTAATATGTGGCATTGATGTACACTGATGGGCACTGGTATGTGGCACTGATGGGTGCTTACAGGTGGCATTGATGGGCACTGATAGGTGACACTCATGGGGCTACACTGATCAGTGTAGATGTCCCCTCTGAGGAATGCCGATAACCGGCTCTACTCTGCTCATGTGCAGTCAGTGGGAGGAGAGGACTGCCGATAACCGGCATTTCCTAGTTACGTGATCAGCTGTGATTGGACACAGCTGATCACATGACAGAACCGACGTGATTGGCTCTTTACAGTGATCGGTGATCTGCTGTGTCCCAGGGACACAGCACATCGTGAGAGGACGTCATATGAAGTCCTCCCAGAATGAGAGAACCGCCTCCCTCCCATCATTACCTTATATGGCGGGCGGGAGGCGGTTAAGTATCATGCCTGGGGGGGTCCCTTTAAACTACCTGCAAAATTGCACATCTGTACAAGGTATAGAACCTGCTACAGCAGGACTGACATTTAAAAAGCAAAAAAAACTGTGTGTCCCCCCCCCCTCCCCAATCCCTAACAGGTCCTTTAGGTCTTCTAGAAAGGTTAGGAGGGACCCCACAGTAAAGAATTTTTTAAAAAGTGCATGGGGATCCCCCTAAAAGCCAACTTTTAAAGGGAACCCTGCCCCCCAAAAATGGGGAGAAAAAACTGTGGGGTCCCCTTAAATTCCCACCAGACCCTTGATCACAGTACAGGCCTGGCAGAGCAGGAAAGGGGGGGCGAATGAGCGCCCCCTCCCTGCGGCTTACCAGGCTACATGCCCTCGGCATTGGGATGGTGTCAAGGGCCTGTTCCCCACATCCCTGGCCCGGTGGTTGTGGGGGTCTGCGGGCAGCGGAGCTCATTAGGATCAGGATACCCCTTGATGCTGCCCCCCCCCGTGAATGAGTAAGGAGTACTTGTAAAGGGTTAAATTTAATAAAAAAGTAGAGACCAGTCTCTTGAAAATTTCTTTTATTTAACAAAAAGCAAAACAAATGTTTTTGACAAGTCCTTTATTAAAAAAAAAAAAGCCAAAAAAATGGTTCCATCGCTGAAATCCATCGTCAATCACGTCAACAACAACTCGCCAAAATAAAAAAAACACGATGCCCGGCGACCCGTCTGATGTAAACAATTGGGTGGAGCTAGCGGTGACGTCACCCCTAGCTCCACTCAGTTGTGCTGTGATTGGCCAAAGCACTGCACCTGGTCTGTGGTCAGGTGCATTGCTTTGGCCAATCACAATGCACTGTAAGAGCGCAGTGCATTGTGGGGCGCAGTGGGCAAACAGCCCGCCAAACGCCTTTACTGTTTGGCGAACACATGAACAGCCGAAGTTTGAGTCAAACACCAAGCCCTATCACTTGTTCTGACAGGGGCTTAATGGTTAGCACTTCCACCTGGCAGCACTCAGATTGTTGGTTCAAATCCCAGCCATGGCACCACCTGCCTGCAGTTTGCATGTTCTCTCTGTGCCTGTGTGTGTTTCCTCCAGGTACTCTGGTTTCCTCCCACACTCTAATGAGATGCTGGAAGGTTAACTTGCTCCTGTCTAAATTGACCCTAGTATGTTTATGTGAGTTAGGGACCATAGATTGTACGCTCCTTGAGGGTTAGGGACTGATGTGAATGTACAATATATATACAGAATGTAAAGTGCTGCATAAATGGACGGTGCTATATAAGTACCTGTAATCAAAAAATAATAAGCCAGCGAAATGGCTTCTTTCTCTTGTTTAGTAAACAGGTTCTCTTTCAAGCCTGGATTTTTCTATATGTGTGCATTAGGAGCTGAAATTCTCAGTAGCCTTCAGGCTTCGGTTCTCAGGATCGAGGCCAAATCTGATTTCAAAGTTTATGACTTAATGATATTTTTCCTCTCTACCACTGTCAATAAATTCACAGGCATTGACTTATTTACATTATGACATCATGCTAATTTTGAGTTGAGGATATTTTATATAGAAAAGACAGGATTTGTATTATTAAAATGCACAAAGGCCCAATACCCTGATGTGTCTTAAATTTTAGCAATATTCAAATCTCCCAGCCTCCGTGGGATTCAGAGTTCCTGTTTAGTACTCCCCAGACCCGTTGCATTTGTATGTGTGCATCTAATTGTTTCCCTTCTGCTGATCCGATTACATGGCCTCTTGTGTCTTTGGTTCTTCTAACCAAACTTGCGGCTCTAAATCTGTTATCGAACCCTTCTGGCTTTGTTTGAGGCTTAATAGTTATAATTTATGCTCTCTGTGTAATATTGCAGGTGATCGTATTTCTGAACTATAATTGTGTTTTTTTAAGTGAATCGTAACCAGAGACTTCTGGACCCTTACAAACTAATTCATTATAATTTCTATTATATGCTAAATTTATAAAGCGCCAACATACGATGCAGGGTTGTACAATGCTATGACTCCGAAAAAGGGGTGAAGTGCAATCTATAACTTGAAAAGAATTGCTCATGGTGCTTACAATCAGTAAAGATTTGGAGTACATCTAAAGCCAGAATTAGGGTTTTTTTTCTTCATTTTTCGATAGAGTTTAGAAGTATCAGGATTGTATGTGTGTCTGTGACCGCACTGGGGAGAGTCATCTTTTTGTTTGGCCTTGTTCACGTGGCAGATACCAACCCCTGATGACCTAGTCACAAACTAACATGGCCAACAGCCTGTGAAATGTGACAGGTTATATAAGTTTAGCCTCATGGCCAAATGTGACAAATTCAAGTGAATGAGGCTACACTGCAATGGCAAATCAAGCACTTGGCTCCCAATTGCAATAGATTTCCTTTTCCCAATTTGGCTGAAGAAAAAAAAAACAGGGACTCAGGAGGTGGTAGCATTGCCTCCTGAATGTCTGGAAGATGCTGTTCCACCAAGTTTTGCTTTTACGTGGGGTGGTAGAGACTGCTACCAGTTTAAATCAGGCCCTTGTCACCATTGTCATCAGAACAGAAGGTGATGGGAAATAATAAAAAATACAGTTTTACTGAAATTGATACAGAGATTAAATCTTCCCAGAGACACCTGCTCTGGTGACTAAGAGAGGATTTCTTCAGTTTTTGAGTTTGGGGTGCTTCCATAGGCGTTCGCACAGGGTGTGCCAGTTGTGCTTAGGCACACCCTAATCACCCCCCCGAACAGCATTGATTCCCCCTACTGCCAGGTTCCCCCTATTTTCCGCCTATGTTTCCCCCGCGGCACTGCCAGCTTTCATCCTCTCCTCTCCTGCCTGATGTTGTGGGGGATGTTTCAGAATGGATTGCAGGGAAAATGGGCCAGTAAATATGTAATTTACTGGCCCCTTCTTTTTCTGAATGAACACAGTCAGTGATTTGTACTGATCACTCACTCTGTTCATTCATAATTGAAGCATAGTAAACTCTGTTTATGAATGAACTGTAAGCTGCTCAGCACAGAGCACTTCACATTCATTTACTGTCTAGTACAGCTAAGGCTGCAAATAAAGGGGCTGAGGAATCTCTGCCCTCAAACCTTTCTCTGTCTCAAAAGTGAGACATCAGAGGTCTGTTTAGACCCCTGATATTTCACCAAAGCCCCCCGATGGGGCCCCCCAAAAACTGTAAAAAATAATAATATAAAAGAAAACAAAAAAAAATGTAAGATAAAATTGTTAAAAATAAAACATTTAAAAACTACTGACACTGCCCTCTGCCCTACTGACACTGCCCTCTGCCCTACTGACACTGTCCTCTGCCCTACTGCCAAAGTTCACTGACATACTGACAAAGTTCACTGCTCTACTTACTGACACTGTCCACTGCCCTTCTATCAATTTACACACGTGTGTTTGAGCTATGGGGTGCACACCCTAATGCAAAAGGCTGTGCACAGCTCTGGGTGTTTTCTTTCACTTCCTTTTGTCACCAGAATAGGAGGTGAATAAATGTGCCCCAGTGAAACATTGACAGCAAAAAGAAAAGAAAAAAATGACAGTGATTTTAAAGTAGTGTTAAATCCTCAGGGTTTTTTTAATTTAACACACTGAGCACAATAAAATAAACATTCCCCAATAAAATATCTGCTAAAATTCTTACCCCAGCATTTGCAGTTTACAACTTTAACTTGACTGGCTCTTGCTCTTTAATTGCTGCTTCCCTGAACTTCCAGTATTCACAGGAGAGAGTTAACAGTGGACAGTGTAGTCTGGAGTCAGTCTGTTTGCTTGGAAAGGGAGAAGGGAGGAAGAAGAGGAGCAGTTCAGTGCCTTGCCATCCTAGGCTACAGTATGGTGCATTTCTATTTGTAGCACTACCCTTTTAGGAGTCACGCAGTTTTGGCTCCCCCTAAAGCTCTGCATAGCCAGGCAACACGCATTTTCCTCCACACTTTGCACTCAGGGTCAGTAAACAGTCCATTAAATTGGTTTTGTGATTTGATTAAGTGGGTGATAACTTGGATAGGGTTGAGGGGTGTATGGGATGCCCAGGGAACTGCAAACTTGAGGACAAACTCCTTAGCAATTATGTACAGATGGACAAAAATAGTCTCTCCTTTAAGAGCCTTTCAGCTCTCTGATGTACCTCCTCAGACCCCAGATGAATCCTCCTCTTCACCCAGATGCACTGAGGGTATTCCCTGGTCAAGGGGGCCCAGAAACTGCTAATTTAGCACAGAATGAGAAGCTAGTTGGGTTTTCTACCTGACTGCCCTCTCCCCTTATCTGGCTCAGGGGGTGTAAGAGTTCTCACACTGTCCTTCCTGATAGCTTAATGGGTTGGTGGCTGCCTTCAGGCCTTTCGCAAGGCTGGCTCCTTCCCTGCTGCTCAGGATATCCTCCCTTGAAGATGGTGGTACAGTGGAGATCCTCTTCTCCAGCATCTGCCTGCAGGTGGTCCCCTTCCCTGGGTCCCCTCCCAGACTCCACACTCCAGTGTCTCACCCCATCTTCTGCCCAACACCACGCTGCCATTCTCAGGCTCTATGATTCTTAAGGGTTGCCTTGGTCACCATGCCCATCCTCCTGCCAGGGGATTAGCCAAGGTTCCTTAAGTATGCAAATCTGAATTTCCTCCCCTCCTCCAGAAAGCTCTTAGGTTTCTAGAGAGGTGGGAGGG